AGGCATATATAGGCAAATCAAAAGAGGAGAGGGGCAATTAAGAAATCGATATATTCAGTTAAAGAGAGAAATAAAAAAGGGAATTAGAAAAGCAAAAAGAGATTATGAGGTTAAAGTTGCAAGAGAATCGAAGACTAACCCAAAAGGATTCTTTCAGGTTTACAGAAGTAAGATCAGGGACAAGATAGGCCCACTCAAAAGTTCCTCGGGTCAGCTCACTGACAGTGATAAGGAAATGTGTAGAATTTTTTAACACATACTTCCTCTCAGTTTTTACACAGGAGGATACCAGCGATATTCCAGAAATGATAAATTATGTAGAACAGGACGATAATAAACTGTGTACGATTAGGGTCACAAGTGACATGGTCCTTAGGCAAATAGATAAATTAAAACCTAACAAATCCCCAGGCCCTGATGAACTGTATGCAAGGGTTCTAAAGGAATGTAAAGAGGAGCTTAGCAAACCTTTGGCTAATCTTTTCAACATATCACTACAAACTGGCATGGTGCCAGATAAGTGGAAAATGGCAAATGTGATACCTATTTTTAAAGCAGGTGACAAGTCCTTACCTTCGAACTATAGACCAATAAGCCTAACCTCCATAGTGGGAAAATTTATGGAATCAATAATTGCCGAGGCAGTTCGTAGTCACCTTGAAAAGCATAAATTAATCAACGAATCTCAGCATGGTTTTGCAAAGGGGCGTTCCTGCCTTACGAATTTATTAACTTTTTTCACTAAGGTATTTGAGGAGGTAGATCATGGTAATGAATATGATATTGTGTATATGGACTTCAGTAAGGCTTTTGACAGGGTCCCACATCAGAGACTATTGAGGAAAATTAAGGCACATGGAATAGGAGGAGAAATTTTTTCCTGGATAGAGGCATGGTTGACAAATAGGCAGCAGAGAGTTTGCATAAATGGGGAGAAATCAGAGTGGGGAAGCATCACGAGCGGTGTTCCACAGGGGTCAGTGTTGGGCCCCCTGCTGTTCACAATCTACATAAACGACATAGATGAGGGCATAAAGAGCGACATCGGCAAGTTTTCTGATGACACCAAAATATGCCGTCGAATTCATTCTGACTAGGACATTCGAGCACTCCGGGAAGATTTGAATAGACTGATGAAGTGGTCGGAGAAGTGGCAGATGCAGTTTAATATAGACAAATGCAAAGTTTTAAAAGTTGGACAGGACAATAACCATGCCACATATAAACTAAATAATGTAGATCTTAATATTACGGATTGCGAAAAAGATTTAGGAGTTCTGGTTAGCAGTAATCTGAAACCAAGACAACAGTGCATAAGTGTTCGCAATAAAGCTAATAGAATCCTTGGCTTCATATCAAGAAGCATAAATAATAGGAGTCCTCTGGTTGTTCTTCAACTCTATACATCCTTGGTTAGGCCTCATTTAAATTATGCTGCACAGTTTTGGTCACCGTATTACAGAATGGATATAAATGCTCTGGAAAATGTACAAAGGAGGATGACAAAGTTGATCCCATGTATCAGAAACCTTCCCTATGAGGATAGACTAAGGGCCCTGAATCTGCACTCTCTAGAAAGACGTAGAATTAGGGGGGATATGATTGAGGTGATGACACTGTGCTTTTGGGAGATTCTGAAGAGAAGCTGCAGAGATTGGTGGATGAATTTGGTAGGGTGTGCAAAAGAAGAAAATTAAAGGTGAATACCGGAAAGAGTAAGGTTATGAGGATAACAAAAAGATTAGGTGATGAAAGATTGAATATCAGATTGGAGGGAGAGAGTATGGAGGAGGTGAACGTATTCAGATATTTGGGAGTGGACGTGTCAGCGGATGGGTCTATGAAAGATGAGGTGAATCATAGAATTGATGAGGGAAAAAGAGTGAGTGGTGCACTTAGGAGTCTGTGGAGACAAAGAACTTTGTCCTTAGAGGCAAAGAGGGGAATGTATGAGAGTATAGTTTTACCAACGCTCTTATATGGGTGTGAAGCGTGGGTGATGAATGTTGCAGCGAGGAGAAGGCTGGAGGCAGTGGAGATGTCATGTCTGAGGGCAATGTGTGGTGTGAATATAATGCAGAGAATTCGTAGTTTGGAAGTTAGGAGGAGGTGCGGGATTACCAAAACTGTTATCCAGAGGGCTGAGGAAGGGTTGTTGAGGTGGTTCGGACATGTAGAGAGAATGGAGCGAAACAGAATGACTTCAAGAGTGTATCAGTCTGTAGTGGAAGGAAGGCGGGGTAGGGGTCGGCCTAGGAAGGGTTGGAGGGAGGGGGTAAAGGAGGTTTTGTGTGCGAGGGGCTTGGACTTCCAGCAGGCATGCGTGAGCGTGTTTGATAGGAGTGAATGGAGACAAATGGTTTTTAATACTTGACGTGCTGTTGGAGTGTGAGCAAAGTAACATTTATGAAGGGATTCAGGGAAACCGGCAGGCCGGACTTGAGTCCTGGAGATGGGAAGTACAGTGCCTGCACTCTGAAGGAGGGGTGTTAATGTTGCAGTTTGGAAACTGTAGTGTAAAGCACCCTTCTGGCAAGACAGTGATGGAGTGAATGATGGTGAAAGTTTTTCTTTTTCGGGCCACCCTGCCTTGGTGGGAATCGGCCAGTGTGATAATAAAATAAAAAAAATAATAAAATGATTGAGGTGTATAAATGGAAGACAGGAATAAATAAAGGGGATGTAAATAGTGTGCTGAAAATATCTAGCCTAGACAGGACTCGCAGCAATGGTTTTAAGTTAGAAAAATTCAGATTCAGGAAGGATATAGGAAAGTACTGGTTTGGTAATAGAGTTGTGGATGAGTGGAACAAACTCCCAAGTACAGTTATAGAGGCCAGAACGTTGTGTAGCTTTAAAAATAGGTTGGATAAATACATGAGTGGATGTGGGTGGGTGTGAGTTGGACCTGATAGCTTGTGCTACCAGGTCGGTTGCCGTGTTCCTCCCTTAAGTCAATATGACCTGACCTGACTAGGTTGGGTGCATTGGCTTAAGCCGGTAGGAGACTTGGACCTGCCTCACATGGGCCAGTAGGCCTTCTGCAGTGTTCCTTCGTTCTTATGTTCTTATGTTCTTAAAACCTTAATAAGAAGTGCAGTAAACTTCTATTGGACGAAATTCGTAAGGCATCTGAATACGAAAATGTTGTGCTAATGAGAGATTTTAACTGTAGACAAATTGACTGGAGCAGTTTCACAGGAAATTTAGTCAGGTGACTTTCTTGAATCAATTCAGGATAGTTTTTAAAACAGTTTGTGACAGATCCAACTAGAGGAAATAACCTGCTTGACTTGGTTCTTGCCAGCAGGGAATCACTAATTAATAATTATGAGGTTAATGATGAGCTTGGGGAAGGTGATCACAAATCACTCAGTTTTAATATATAATGGAATTCCCCCTAATAATGGCAATCAAGTCTCTGTCTCTGACTTCCACTTGGCTGATTTCATAGGACTGAGAAATTACCTTTATGGGCTGAATTGACTGTGGGTGAGGTAGGTGGTGATGGTTGCCGATATTACGTTTTCCAGAGCATAGTCCTAGCTGCTCAGACACTATGTTCGAAATAGGGAAATCAGATCATACAAAAATGATCCTAGATGGATACACAATTGATTAAAACATCTCATTAGTCAAAAGAGAGGCATATATAGGCGAATCAAAAGAGGAGAGGGGCAGTTAAGAAATCAATATATTCAGTTAAAGAATTAGGGGTGATACGATTTAGGTGTATAAACGGAAAATAGGAATAAATATAAGGGATGAAAATGGCGTGCTAGCCAAGACAGGACTCGCAGCAATGGTTTTAAGTAGGGAAAAATTCCGATTCAGGAAGGATATAGGAAAGCACTGGTTTGGTAAGTGGAACAAACTCCCGAGTACCATCATAGAAGATAAAATGATGTGTAGTTTTAAAAATAGGTTAGATAAAAACATGAGTGTGTGCAGGTGGGTGTGAGTTGGTCCTGACAAGCATGTGCTACTAGGTCAGATGCCATGCTTCTTCAAGTGAATGTGACCTGACCTGACTAGGTTGGAGCATTGGCTTGGGCCGGTGGTGGACTTGGACCTGCCTCGCATGCGCCAGTAGGCCTGCTGCAGTGTTCCTTCTTTCTTATGTTCTTATTTCTTCTGATGCTTAGGTCTCATTACATATGCATATATATATATATATATATATATATATATATATATATATATATATATATATATTATATTAATATATATACATATATAAATAACACACCTGCTTGAGTTTTCTTCTATTTGCTTACTAGTTCTTCTTATTCATTTACTTTTTTCTCCAGAGGGAAGCGCAAAAGAATCTTTCCTCCCTAAGCCATGAGTATCGTAAAAGGTGATTAAAATGCCAGGAGAAAGGTGGTATATTCACTGTAAAAGGCCTTCTGGCCCATATTAGGCAGGTCCTTGTCAAGCCCAAACCCACTTAAGAAAAATATTCGTCCAACCCATTTTCAGTATTACTCAAGGAATAAGTTTAATAGCCCTATTAACTCAAGCACAAGTCCCACTCAGATCCAACCCCTCTCACTCATGACTCATCAAGTCCCACTCAGATCTAACCCCTCTCACTCATGACTCATCAAGTCCACTCAGATCTAACCCCTCTCACTCATGACTCATCAAGTCCCACTCAGATCTAACCCCTCTCACTCATGACTCATCAAGTCCCACTCAGATCTAACCCCTCTCACTCATGACTCATCAAGTCCCACTCAGATCTAACCCCTCTCACTCATGACTCATCAAGTCCCACTCAGATCCAACCCCTCTCACTCATGACTCATCAAGTCCCACTCAGATCCAACCCCTCTCATTCATGACTCATCACTCATCTGTTTAGAAAATGAAAATAATGAAGTCTTTCATTTTTTGACAAAATATTTGTGAACTCCCATTCATATAAATAAGTTGAATAACTACACTTTCTGTACACATTATACATTCAACAAGTTAAGGAATTGTATTTACCGCAGATGTTATCTGGGATGTACGTGATGTTGACCTTGGTGGTGGTAGTGACTGGTAAATTAGACCCTCCTGAGAGACCTTACAAGATACTGGTACTGACTCCAGTCTCCTCCCAGAGCCACAAGAACGTCTTCATGCCGCTTGCCAGGGCTCTGGCTGACCGTGGTCACCAGGTGAGGCATTACACAACTAACACCCGGTGTTTCGGCCCAAGTCGGACCGAAACGCCGTCGTAAGCTTCTCTGTCCGGGTTATTTGTGTATTGTTCCTGTCACAGTGTTATGACTGGAACAATAAAGCTCTCTAGTCTCTTTATTAAAGATTATCCATTATGCAAATTAGATATAATCGTAAACAAAGAATAAATTTCATCTGTTGCATTTGTAATAACAAAGCCTTCATAAGTAGTAGTAATTATGCAAGACTGAAATGACGTCAATCGTCATTTCCCATATTCAAAATCTGTCATCACGTCTGATAGAAATGCACATGCATGTTAGTGGCTTTCTTTGTTCTTAAGAATATTTCACTACATGTAAACTACACATTGCATACCATGCAAAAAAACAAAAATTGAATTTTTATTTTGAATTTGAATAATAGGTTCGCTCAAAGTCCTTGATTCTGGTTCTACATATTATATTCAGGTAACGATATTGTCGAATAACACGAAGTTGTCTGAGTATCCCAACATTACCGAGGTTCCTCACGGACTGATTCCAGCCGAGCCTCTAGATGCCTTTATGTACAGGAAGGACTGGACTGGCGGGTGGACCATGTTTGAGGTTATTCTTCCCAATTTTGCCCAAAATTTATACAAGATTCCTGCAGTGAAGGAGCTTTACGAGAGGAGGAAGGAGTTTGATCTCTTCCTGGTAGATCATGCGTTTAATGAGGTGAGAAGTAGCATGTATTATTCTCGTGTGAGGATGAGTCATAATGAGGTGAGAAGTAGCATGTATTATTCTCGTGTGAGGATGAGTCATAATGAGTCATATTCATGTCTAGTCTAAAGTTTTTTTTTCTTAAAAATTTAAAAAATTGTCTCGTAGAAAACTCATTAATAATAATAGTGATCACAATATATGTAATACGTAAAAAGTCTTACTTAAAATTGTTTTATCAATGTTCATAATAATAATAATAATAGCAATAATAGTAATAATAACAATAATAGTAATAATAATAATAATAATAATAATAATAATAATAATAATATTCATCATCATCGTCATCATCATCACCATCATCATCATAATAATAATAATAATAATAATAATAATAATAATAATAATAATAATATTTCTACAAGCACATAACACAACTTAAACAGATCTTAACTGACATGCAGAACATTTCCAGCAACTTAGGTTAATTTTGTGCTCAGGATGCGACCCTCACTAGTCGGCTAACGATGAGAGTAAGACACATGTGCAACATCTGGGTATCTTTATTGTAGACGTTTCGCCATCCAGTGGCTTTATCAATACAAATTCTAGGACATAACTTGAAGACAGTAGAACTATGTACAGAAGATGAGGTAATCAGTCCCTCAACCTAGGAGTAGGTGCGAACAGCACCATAGTCGTGGAGATTCTGAAAGAATCTCCACGACTATGGTGCTGTTATACTACACAAAGCACATTACAGAGAGTGAACACTGAAACAAGCTGCCTCTTTCCAGTCTATATTTGTCCAACCTATTTTTATGTTACCCAAGTAATAGCTTTTATATCCTTTTACTCTTGTACGAATTAGTTGCTCTACCATATTGTATTACTACTACAACTTTTGTCACTACTACTACTACTAGGAGGAAATGGTATGGTGATACCGACAAGATGTGGAAAAAGACACTTATGTACAGTTCAGGACATTTATTAAAGGAAACGTTTCGCCACGAGTGGCTTCTTCAGTCCTAATACAGAGAAAACTAAGAAAACATTTATATATATAGTGGCAGGAGTCAGGTGAGGTGACGCGTGGGTAGAGGTGGTAGTAGTAGTAGTAGTAGTAGTAGTAGTAGTAGTAGTAGTAGTAGTAGTAGTAATGGAACTAAGGAGGTGAGGCTAGAGAGGGACCACCAGTTCCCAGGATGGGTAATATCCTCTTGCTTAGTAATTTTGACATACTGTAACTACCGGATTTTTTGCTTTATAGTGTTACTGACAGAAATTAGTGCAGCTTCAATGCATTTTCTCCGTCTTAAGTCGCCTTCTTTAATCACTAGTTTAGCTTCATTGAATTTCATGAGGTGTCCAACATCGTCTCTATGTTGAACACATGCGTTTTTGCGGTCATCATTTCTGCAAGCATTTTTGTGTTCTGCTATTCTAATGTCCAGAGTTCTGGCTGTTTCCCCTACATATACTTTGTCACACACCCCACATGGGGGGTGTGACATGGGGGACGTTCTCTTACGCACAGGGGAAAATAAACTTTCTTTTAAAGTCTACCGGAAGCCTACCTACAAGAACGATCTTCTACATTACTTCTCTCACCATGACACAAGAACTAAAAGAGGGGTAGTTATTGGCTTCTTTCTGAGAGCCTACAGAATTTCCAGTCCACAGTTCCTCGAAGAAGAATGTACATACATCACCAGCTCTTTTAGTTCACTACACTTTCCCCTACACTTCATACGTGACTGTAGGAAACGTGCGGCACGTATCCTCAGCAAGACCGACACCTATCAAATTGAAGAAAAACCTCCAAGTTACATCGTTTTACCGGTCAGCAACGTTGCCACTAATGTTTCAAAAATGTTTGACAGAAAACTGGCTAAAATATCTACCAGCTCTTCAACTACTATTAGGAACCTGATACAAAAACCCAAGCATGATTCTGGCACAAGTGCAGGAATCTACACTATACCATGTGGGGGGTGTGACAAAGTATATGTAGGGGAAACAGCCAGAACTCTGGACATTAGGATAGCAGAACACAAAAATGCTTGCAGAAATGATGACCGCAAAAACGCATGTGTTCAACATAGAGACGATGTTGGACACCTCATGAAATTCAATGAAGCTAAACTAGTTATTAAAGAAGACGACTTAAGACGGAGAAAATGCATTGAAGCTGCACTAATTTCTGTCAGTAACACTATAAAGCAAAAATCCGGTAGTTACAGTATGTCAAAATTACTAAGCAAGAGGATATTACCCATCCTGGGAACTGGTGTTACTTGATGCCAGCAGGTCCCTCTCTTGCCTCACCTCCTTAGTTCCATTACTACTACTACTACTACTACTACCACCTCTACCCACGCGTCACCTCACCTGACTCCTGCCACTATATATATAAATGTTTTCTTAGTTTTCTCTGTATTAGGACTGAAGAAGCCACTCGTGGCGAAACGTTTCCTTTAATAAATGTCCTGAACTGTACATAAGTGTCTTTTTCCACTACTACTACTACTACTACTACTACTACCACTAGTGAACATCGAAATGGTACCTCACTAGTATTGCACCTCACTCTGAGCCTTTATATACCCTCTGTGTCCATGTATTGTTTGTAATGGCTTGATAAAGCTCCTGGAGAGCGAAACGTTGCCACAATAAAATTTCACATTAGTTGCACTTGTGTCCTTTTACTTTACATATTGTCGGTAATTCTACCAACTTTATTACATTGCTTAATTATTGCTCTGGTTTCAATGATTGCAGATTTAATAAGAATTTTAAGAAACCCAAAACAATTAGATATACAAAGCCCTAGCTTTTGTTCCCTCATTTTATACACAGGATATATTAGCCATTTTTGAGGTAGTTAATGGAAAACAAAGTAACTTTGTAAAAATATAAATGGTGTTAGTGAATATTAAAATGGTATAAAATACCGACAGGTTGTTAGGTAAGACACATATGCAACAGTTAGGTATCTTTATTTCGAAACGTTTAGCCTACACAGTAGGCTTCTTCAGTCGAGTACAGAAAAGTCGATAGAAGAGACATGAAGACGATGTAATCAGTCCATCGCCCTTAAAGTTTTGAGGTGGTCAGTCCCTCAGTCTGGAGAATAGTATTGTTCCATAGTCTGAAACAATATGGAGTTGAAGTAAGTATGTATAATGTTCGCCAAGACCAGGGTCCTGGCACGGGTCTTAATCTTGAGATGACCCGTCTCTGGCTCCTGATGTTCGCCAAGACCAGGGTCCTGGCACGGGTCTTAATCTTGAGATGACCCGTCTCTGGCTCCTGATGATCGCCAAGACCAGGGTCCTGGCACGGGTCTTAATCTTGAGATGACCCGTCTCTGGCTCCTGATGTTCGCCAAGACCAGGGTCCTGGCACGGGTCTTAATCTTGAGATGACCCGTCTCTGGCTCCTGATGTTCGCCAAGACCAGGGTCCTGGCACGGGTCTTAATCTTGAGATGACCCGTCTCTGGCTCCTGATGTTCGCCAAGACCAGGGTCCTGGCACGGGTCTTAATCTTGAGATGACCTGTCTCTGGCTCCTGATGTTCGCCAAGACCAGGGTCCTGGCACGGGTCTTAATCTTGAGATGACCCGTCTCTGGCTCCTGATGTTCGCCAAGACCAGGGTCCTGGCACGGGTCTTAATCTTGAGATGACCCGTCTCTGGCTCCTGATGTTCGCCAAGACCAGGGTCCTGGCACGGGTCTTAATCTTGAGATGACCCGTCTCTGGCTCCTGATGTTCGCCAAGACCAGGGTCCTGGCACGGGTCTTAATCTTGAGATGACCCGTCTCTGGCTCCTGATGTTCGCCAAGACCAGGGTCCTGGCACGGGTCTTAATCTTGAGATGACCCGTCTCTGGCTCCTGATGTTCGCCAAGACCAGTGTCCTGGCACGGGTCTTAATCTTGAGATGACCCGTCTCTGGCTCCTGATGTTCGCCAAGACCAGGGTCCTGGCACGGGTCTTAATCTTGAGATGACCCGTCTCTGGCTCCTGATGGAGAATTGTTTCTTCACTGTTGCAGCATATGCTGCTCAAGCACTGTTCCGGACAGTTCAACTAGTGTGCCTCATAAGCGACCATAATATGGTACTGAGGTTACTCCATCTCAGCTGTTTCCTAAGCTGGGACTGGGCTCTGTGCGCTCTGATAATCTGAAGATTCATGGAATCCACTGTTTCCTCCTCTGTCTGTAAGCACACCGCCAGGAGGTGAGATGTAGGCCACTAGTAGAGGTGAGAATGTAGTTGTTGGGAGGTCACGTCCCTCTCAAATCCAGCCATTCTCACTAGTAGAAGTTGTCCAAGTTGATTCTGTACCAAGATACCATTGTGTTGCAGTGTCTGACAGAGTGAATATTAAAATGGTATAAAATACGACCGGTTGTTAGGTAGGACAAATATGCAACAGTTAGGCAACTTTATTTCGAAACGTTTCGCCTACACAGTAGGCTTCTTCAGTCAAGAACCCCTCATGGAAGGTTCCTTGATGTTGGTGAGGGGCTCTTGATTTAGGGAATTGAATCTGTGCTCCAGTTCCCCGAATTAAGCCTGAATGCCTTCCACATCCCCCCCTGGGCGCTGTATAATCCTACGGGTTTAGCGCTTCCCCCTTGATTATAATAATAATTCAGTCAAGTACAGAAAAGTTGATAGAAGCAGAAGAGACGTAAACACGATGTAATCAGTCGGCCTCTGCACTCCAGTAACATGCCCAGCCTTCTAAGTAGGTTTAGTAATGTTGGTAAATGTAGTAAGCAGAAGAGGCTTTGTCAAGTTATTTTAATATAAAAATCTGACAGCCACTGCCTGGAGGTTATTCCGGGGATCAACGCCCCCGCGGCCCGGTCCACGACCAGGCCTCCCGATGGATCAGGGCCTGATCAACTAGGCTGTTGCTGCTGGCCGCATGCAGTCCAACGTACGAGCCACAGCCCGGCTGATCCGGCACTAACTTTAGGTATCTGTCCAGCTCTCTCTTGAAGGCAGCCAGGGGTTTATTGGTAATTCCCCTAATGCTTGATGGGAGGCTGTTGAACAGTCTTGAGCCCCGGACACTTATGGTGTTTTCCCTTAGTGTACCAATGGCG